ACCCGGTAGCGTGAGGCTTCCGTGGACACCAGGGTACCCTGCCCAGAGATGGAAGGGGCTGGATGCCCTGATGGGGGCAGGCTGGCCAGAGGCTCTGGAAAGGGGTCTTGGTTGCTTGTCCGTCATGTCAGTCTGTCCCCCTCCCTTACACTGCACACTCCCTCCAGCCCCCCCCAAGTCCGGGGACAGAGGTCGATGGGTCTGGCTGGAGACCCAAGATAAGACTGACATTATCTGGAGCCACACTCAGGCATGGGGGAAGGGGGGCAGAGCTAGGCATGGAAGGCTGGGTGGGGGGCAGCCTTGCCTCAGTTTCCCCAGGCTCTCCCTCTCCTTCCCTGTCCCCCCAAAAATTAATTCCCAAGATTAAATTCCTGCATTTGCTATTTCCCCCGATATCTAGGGTTGTCTTACTGTGGACTGCTGCAGTGTTCAGCTTCAAACCTCAGGTTCTTTTTTCTTTTCTTTCTTTCTTTCTTTCTTTCCTTTCCTTTCCTTTTTTTTCCCCCCCCAAAGTAAGCTCTATGCCCAACATGGGGCTTGAACTCACGACCCTGAGATCAAGAGTTGCATGTTCTACCTACTGAGCCAGCCAGGTGCCCCTCCAAGCCTCAGTCTTATATGACAAGAATAGGTCCTTAGACCAAGTTCAGACTCCTAGCCTGGACTGAGGACCCCCAGCCTTGGGTAAGATGCAGAGCAAGATGCAGACTAGACACCCCCCCCCCAAGCTCTAACCACAGCCCAGGACCCTAGCCAGCCCACCTACACCCCACCTGGCCCCACCTTGAGAAAGTCCTCCTGTGTGTCCAGGAAGGGGCCCAGGGTGGTCAGCGTGCTGATGGAGGGCAAGGCGGTCTCAGCTGCAGCCATGGCCGGCTGGTGCCCACCCTGGGCCTCAGGCCTCCTCTCCCTCCGTGGCCTCGTGGGCTCTGAGACACCAATGGCCCCTTGGAGGGCTCCTCTCTGCCCTCAGCTGATTGGCTGCAGCCCCTGATAAGAGGCAGGCAAGGCGGGGGTCACTGTTTCTGAGGAAGAGACCTCATCTCAGCCTGTTTAAGGGCTGGGCCTTAAGGACTGACCCCATATATAAAGCCAAGTCAGAGGTTCAGGGGCTGGGGGCTCAGAGGTTGAGGGTTCAGGTGTTGGGTAAAGCGAGGCACTGAGTCCCCACAAAAGGATAGACTTGGTGCCCTACTCTTAGTTATCTTCCTATAGAAGGGGTAACAGACAGAATGGGGATCCTGAGAAGGGGCTTTGAGACACCGTTTCCTGTGACCGGGCCCCTGTAGCTCTCCCCCTCCCCAATAAACAGCAGCAACCGTGCTGATGGCGGGACTTGGCATGAAGTCCCTGCCAAGCCAAGCATTATCAGACACCCCAGATGTTGGAGCCTGCTATCAGGTGGGGGCCCAGAACAGCCGAAGCTCTGTTCCTGATGAGTGGGAGGGTTGGGGGCTGGGGCTTCACGGTGGGTTGGTTTCAAATTGCCTGGATTGTGAGTTCACAGGGCCTGAGCCCAGTGCCAGGAGGAGCCCCTCCCAATCAGCCGCCTGCTGTCGACCATGGACCCTCTGGGGGGTGCTGCGTGGAGTTGGGCTGTGTATGGGGGGGATGCTGCTGTGACCACAGTTGCTCTGGTGTGATGGGGCCGGGGTGGGGGAAGTGACCCCCTCTGCGGGGTGAAATCGGACGGTCGGATCAGGCCACAGGAAGTACCTGAGGATGCGCAGGAGACCCTCAGCAGCCCCTGCTCTAGGCCTGGCTGCTCTCTGATTGCTGCCCCACATGGGGGGGCGGGGATCCAAGCTTCTACACCAGGCACCTCCACTGTTGTGCCCTGGGAACCCGGGTGGATGCTACAGACACGTCATAGACACCTAGTTCACGGTCATATCCACGCACAGTCGGCAGTTACACAGCGACACAGATTCCTGGCCCCATATAGTCCCTGCACACGGAACTGTGCGTCTGCCTGTCATGTAGGCCCTGCACAGACACCCAATTCCCAGGCACAAAAACACAGCTATACACTGCATTGGTTACACAGTGATGTGGTCACACGGTCTCTCAGACACAGTACCTACTGCCACAATCACACACTGTTGCAGAAACACACGGGAACACACAACCACTCACAAACCCACGATGATGCAGTAATGCACACACCTATACATCAGACACAACCATTCATGGCACTGTAGAAAACCTACCACCTTACATATTCAGGCCCCCTGTCACTGTCACGGTTTGTAAGTGCTCACGCAATTGCACAGCCACCAATGCCCAACCATAGGGGGCACGGCCAGTCAAAGACAACCCTGCCAACGTGGAATCTAACACTCTGATAGTGAAAAGTGCACAACCCTGCCCAGATGTAGACACATTACCACAAACCCACAATCAGAGTTGGTGCATCACAAACGCATCGCACAAAAAGGCAAAATATTATCATGTGCCACAAAGGGAGCGGGGAAGCAAGTAATATAAAAGCCAGCTCAATGCACCCACTAAGATGGCCATGTAGAGAGAAATTGGAACCCCGTAAACTGCTGGTGGGAATGGAAAATGCAGCTACTGTGGAAAAGTCTGATGATTCTTCCAAAAGTTAAACAATTCAAAAGTTGGGCAAGAGTTACCATATGACCCAGCAATTCCACTCCTAGCTTTATATCCCAAAGAATTGAAAACAGGTAGTCAGGGACGCCTGGGTGGCTCAGTTGGTTAAGCGTCTGCCTTTGGCTCGGGTCATGATCTGTGGGTCCTGGGATGGAGCCCCACATCGGGCTCCTCGCTCAGCGGGGAGCCTGCTTCTCCCTCTGCCTCACTCCCCTGGCTTGTGCTCTCTCTGATAAATAAATAGATAAAATCTTAAAAAAAAAAAACAGACATAAAGATTAGTGGCTGCCAGGGGGCAGGGGGAGGAGGAATGGGGAGTGACTGCTAATGGGTACAAGGTCTCCTTTTGGGGTGATGGAAATGTTCTGGAATTAGAGGTGGTGGTTGCACAACATCGTGAATGTGCTACATGCCAGTGAATTTTTCACTTTAAAATGGTTCATTTATGGAGGCACCTGGGTGGCTCAGTTGTTAAGCGTCTGCCTTCGGCTTGGGTCATGATTCCAGGGTCCTGGGCTCGAGCCCCACATCGGGCTCCCCGCTCAGCGGGAGGCCTGCTTCTCCCTCCCCCACTCCCCCTGCTTGTGTTCCCTTTCTTGCTGTCTCTCTCTGTCAAATAAATAAATAAAATCTTTAAAAAAAATGCTTCATTTATGTTATGTGAATTTTGCCTCAATAAAATAAAACGGCTGGGATTAGTGGGTTCCTGGAGAAGAAATCAGTCTTTCTTGGGGAGAGATCTCCTTGGTTTGGGATGAGGCACTAAACAGGCCTGTGTGGCTCTAAAACGGGAGGCAAGAAGGGGGGGGGAATTTGGCTGGACGCATTTGTCCCCTAGGAGCCTGTGGCCAGGAGGGATGATGGACTTCCCAGTGTGACAAGGCCTGAAACTCAGTTTGGGTTTCCTGGTGTGGATAATGACATCACCCTCTGACACCCACACCAGCTTCAGGGTAGGGAGCTTTGGGAAAGGAAGGGGGTGGGGGAGAGAGGCCACTGGCTGCAGGAGAAGGGAGGTGACCGGAAGAATGAGAGCCATGCAAAATCAGGGACATCTCAGGGTGGTGATGGAATCCCTACTGTGTGAGGAGGAGGGCTCAAACTGTTTTATATGGATGTTAAGGGCAAGGAGGGCCCAGAAAGTGGGAGGGTCTAGGGACACCCAGGCTCCAGGCACTTGGGGACAGGCAGGCCAGTGATCACATTCAGAACACAATCCCACTGTTACTCCCAGCACACTCATTCAGAGATGATATGTGAGGTAGAACATGATATACACACAATTAGCTAGAATGTCGGTGTGGGAAGACGTGTTCCTGGTGGGCAGGGAGGGGCCTGGCCTGGGAACCAGGCTCTGCACTTGGCCTATGGTAACCTTGAGCAAGATCATTCTGCTTTCTGGGCCTTACTATCCCCACCTGGAAAAAGGCCATGTCATGCTAGATATGTGCCTTTTAGATACAGCGATGGTCAAGCACAGTGCACCCAGATTCAAATGCACATCACACAAATGCTCATCAAAGTGACCTAAGTGAGCATAGCCACTCACTCAGGCATATACTCATATCACACTCACAGTCCTGTCCATGTGCACACAGACCAAATCACACTGACACATGGAGGTAGACAACCACACAGACATACACACAAATATCCAGTCATGTTGTCACAAAAATAATAGCCACACCTAGAGAGAAAACCATCACAACACAGAATCATACATACAGACACACGATCGCACAGAATACCATTACACAAGCTTACAACTACACAGACAAGAAAGCACAAAGACATTCAGGCACACAGCCACAGCCAGTTACAATGGTACACAACCGCCCACAGACAATCGCCCCACAAAGTCGTAGGCACACCCACATACAGATACATAGTCAGTCCCGCACAATCACAGACCTAGGTGCAAGAAGCAACAGCGCACGGAAATCACTACAAGTCACACACACCGTCGCTCAGGGCTACATGTGCTTCCTGGGATGGACTAGCAGCTAGGTTGGGCTGAGTTCGCCCACTGGAGCCCCCCCTCTCCCCCTGCTCCCCACAGCAGCCATTAGAGGAGACATCAAGGTCTGCCCTCCAGGTTCCCAGGACTCATTTTTCTTGTGCCTCAGTTTCCTCATTTAACTCCAGAATTCCTCCGAACACGGCCCCTGCAACTGACCAATCAAGCGTGGGCCAAGCCCCCTCCTAGGGCCAATCAGGACAGGAACACAGCCGGCCAATTGGCTTGGCGCACTCACCTTCCGCCCCTTTCCTGTTCTGCTTCTTAAAGCCTCTAACATGCCTTGGCCTGGGCTCTCACGTCTCCACAGGCAAGGCTGCCGTGGCCCTTTTAAAAGGCAGAGCAGAGGAGGAGCCGGGTCTTAGCACACACCAATGAGAAGCCCCATTCGGCATCCGCCCCCCCCACCCTCTCCAGAGGTCAAAAGATTTTGCCAGTCTTACTGTGGACTGTACGGGGAGCCGGGAGGCGCCAGGTAAGCACCCGCGAGAGGGGCGAGAGGGGTGAGTGGCGCCAGGGCCCGGGCCTGCCGGTGGGAGCCACTCCGCTCTGACGCCCCTGCTCCTCCAGGTTGGCCGTGGTTGCTCCGCTTGCCCGCCCGCTGCCCAGATGGCCTTGAGAAGGGTCTCCGAGCGGCTGTTGAGCCGTGGACCAGGCCTGAGCTTCCTGCGCGGGTGGGGCTCGGCGGCGGCGCAGACTGGTCAGTGCCGGGTCGGGGGCAGGGTGGGGAGGGTGGAACTGGAGGCTTGGGGGACTTTTCCGGAGTGACTTTTCCGTCCTGTGTTTGCAGAAAAGGGCGGGAAGACACAGAACCGAGCGACTAAGTGTAAGGACCCCTCCTTGCGCCGGGCGTCTGTGGCCCTTGTCCAAGTGTCTGCCCAGGGTGGGCTCTGTCCCAGAATCCGAGGGCTGCCCTGGAGGGGAGGCAGGGCGTGGCCAGGGCCAGAGGCTTCCCGGAGAAGTGCCGTCTTGCCAGTGCTCTTTACTGCCCACATCCACCAGGAGCCAGTTGGGAGTGGCGGAGTGGGGCTGAGGATTCCAGGAGAGGAGGGTGCGGTGGTCGGGTGGGCTGGGCCGAGTCAAGCCCCCTCCCACTCTGCTCCCTGTCCCAGCCTCGCGTCCTGAATTTGACTGGAGAGACCCGCTGGTGCTGGAGGAGCAGCTGACAGCGGATGAGATCCTCATCAGGGACACCTTCCGCACCTATTGCCAGGAGCGCCTCATGCCCCGAATCCTGCTGGCCAATCGCAACGAAGGTGCTCCGGCGGGCGGGTGGGCACCCTCCACTGTGCACACCAGCTCTCCCTGCTTTAGCTGGGTCCCGGGCCCCTTCTGTCCCTGAGATGGGGGCTCCATTGGGCTAGGGCTGGGCCTGAGTTTGGGCATCCGTCTTTTCCAGTTTTTCACCGGGAGATCATCTCAGAAATGGGGGAGCTTGGTGTGCTGGGTCCCACCATCAAAGGTAGGGGCAGATTTATCTCCACACTCTGCAGTCCCCACTGTGTCCTGGAAAGCCCCTTCTTATCCCTGAGCCTGAGTTTCCCAGTCTGCAAAGCGAGGCTGTTAGTTATCCCTCCATCTGAAAGTGGCTGTGAGGAAAAATGAATAAACCTTCAAACTAGGGCCAGCTTGGTGCCCCCTCCTTGGGCACCCCTATATAGCTCTGTCTCTTGGGCCCCAGGAATCACACTGGTTCCAGCTGGGCAGGACTTTGTCTCCCATTGCCCTGTCTTCCCTCCCCCTCTCCCCACCCCGACCAGGGTATGGCTGTGCTGGAGTCTCATCTGTGGCCTATGGGCTCCTAGCCCGAGAGTTGGAGCGGGTGGATAGTGGCTACAGGTCAGCAATGAGTGTCCAGTCTTCCCTTGTCATGCACCCCATCTACGCCTATGGCAGCAAGGAGCAGCAGCAGAAGTACCTGCCCCGGCTGGGTGAGCAGTTGCCCGTAGAGCCTGGGGAAGGAAGACCGCCACAGTGGTCTGGAACTTAGGAATGGGACTGTCCCCAGAGCCTGCCTTCTGTCCCTACCTCAAGGATAGCCCCAATGGCCACCCAAATCCCCTGCCAGACCATGGGCCTCACCCCTACCTCTGATCCTGACTGACCCCTCCTAGGTCTCTCTTGACTCTGCCCTCTTCTTACCACCACCATCTCCCTCCTGATTTGCTGTGTTCCCCCACCCCAGCCCAAAGTTTAAAGTCTTAATTTCTTGACTGGGTCCACAAGGCCCCCCATGAGTAGGCAGGCCTCTGCTGACCATTCCACCTCATCTCTGGCCATTCTCTTGACTGCTCCTCCTCAGCCAGACTCAGCTACTTGGCGTTCTCCAAATGTACCACTGTGCCTTTGCACATCTGTACCCTCACTGGAACCACTCTTCTCCACCCTTCCTCCTCCTGCTTAACTCCTTTTCACTGCCTTCAAGACAGATTCTCTCTTTCCTGACTCCTGTGGGGCCCCTCCCCATCATGGCATTGTTACTGTGGATGGGGGGAGGAGTGTCCCTGCACACCACCACCACCTGAGAGTGCCATGGGGACAGAGTTGGGTCTGCCTTTGGCCTGGCTTGATGGGGAGGCTGACAATTTTCATTTGAGGAGATGAGTGGGGGACAGGCAGACTTGTGACCCTGTCTTGTCCCTGCAGCCAAGGGGGAGCTCCTGGGCTGCTTTGGGCTCACAGAGCCCAACCATGGGAGTGACCCTGGCAGCATGGAGACCAGAGCCTGCCACAACCCATCCAACAGGAGCTACACCCTCAATGGGACCAAGACCTGGTGAGGGGTCTGGGTGTCTCAGGCAGGTGGGCAGGGGCAGGAGGGAGGCGGCCAGACCCTCACTGCCTGTCCCTCCCCCCAGGATCACCAATTCACCTGTGGCCGACCTGTTTGTAGTATGGGCTCGGTGTGAAGACAGCTGCATTCGGGGCTTCCTGCTGGAGAAGGGGATGGGGGGCCTCTCAGCCCCCAAGATTGAGGGCAAGTTCTCCCTGCGGGCCTCGTCCACAGGCATGATCGTCATGGACAGCGTGGAGGTGCCGGAGGAGAATGTGCTGCCTGATGTATCTGGTCTGGCGGTGAGCAGCGGCCACCTTGGGAACTGGTATCAGGTCACCTGCTGGTTCAACTTCTTTGGGCAGGCCCCATGCTGGGGACCCAGTCCCTGTGCTTGCGGAGCCCACACACAAGTGATTCTGAGAGCTTCTGCCTGGCTCACTGATGTTTGGAAATTGCCCCTTTGGGGTGACTATTTGCTTATACTGGCTCTGCCGAGGACACATACAGGCCTGAACCAGTTTAATCCTTTGATACATGTGCATCTTTCTGTCTCCTTACATCATCCCCTAGATCTGGGCATCCAACCCATATCCTGGGCTGGGTAGAATTGTGTGTGCATGAGCTTTGGTGCCAGGACCTTGTGTGATTAAAATGGCTGCCCTGAATCCCTCTGGATTATAGTGACTGCACGTCTGGGGAGGGGGCTTCCCCCAACGTAAGTTAGTTCTGCCCAGGGCCTCTCAGCTCCTGGGCGGTGCTGAGGCCTCTCTTTTGACCCTATAGGGGCCCTTCGGCTGCCTGAACAATGCCCGGTTTGGCATCGCCTGGGGCGTGCTCGGAGCCGCTGAATTCTGTTTGCACACGGCCCGGCAGTACACCCTGGATAGGTGTGTGGGGCTGCCATGAGATCTCTTGGGAGGTGTGGGGGGGGCACGGGCTCCATCCCTTACCCTACCAGTGACTCCTCCTCCCCTGCCTACCAGACTTAAGTTCCCCACTCGGTGAAATGGCCGGGGAAGTCCTTGAGCAGTGAGGGGCTGACTGCTCGGTGACATTGGTGATACTGAGCAGTGACGGGGCGAGGGTGAACTCAGTGAGGACTGAGGCAGCCTGGGAAGGCTTCCTGGACTGGGGGGGTGAACATGTCCACACTTACCCTGAACTTGCCCACTTAGGATCCAGTTTGGCGCCCCACTGGCCAGGAACCAGCTGATTCAGAAGAAGCTGGCAGACATGCTCACTGAGATCACGCTGGGCCTTCACGCTTGCCTGCAGCTTGGCCGCTTGAAGGATCAAGACAAGTAGGGGCTGTGTGTTGGGGGAGCTGGGGGCAGGCAGCAAGGAGGGGACCCTGTGCCCCTCCTGGACATGGTGGTGGCTGGTCCTGGGGAGAAAGGTCTTTCGTGCCTGGTGGCCCCTTGGGGACCTGTCCCTTCTTTCCCTCTTGGCCTTGATGGGACAGGACTGCCTGCCTATCCCTTACTGGGAGCTCAGTGTCTGCTGCTGTGACTATAACTTGGGGAATTTTCTCCCCTGGCTGGGTTTGCCCAGGGCTTAGGGATGCCTGGGGTCAGTTGTGATCCCATACTTGTGTGACATGTCTCTGCCACTCCCAGGGCCACTCCGGAAATGGTCTCCCTGCTGAAGAGGAATAACTGTGGGAAGGCCCTGGATATCGCCCGCCAGGCCCGAGACATACTAGGGGGGAATGGGATTTCTGATGAGTATCACGTGATCCGCCATGCCATGAACCTGGAGGCTGTGAACACCTATGAAGGTAGGGGCTGGGTCTCTGGGGGGAGGAGTGTCACAGTGGCCTCACTGTCTAGAGAAGAAAGGGTGGGGACAGCACGCCTGAGTCCTGCTCCCAGCTGTCATCACTAGCAGTGTGACCTGGGGCAAGTCCCACCCGTGTTCTTCATCTGCAGTGGCTCAGAGAGGGACTGGGGAAGTGAAATGCTCTCAGTCCTTTCCCCCATGGTGATTGGGAGGAGGGGTGCTCCCCAGATTGCTTTACTATCTCCTTGGGCATCCCCGGAGTGGGGCACAATGCCTAGTGAGCTGGTGGGTGCCAGGGAGCAAAAGTGCAGCTACACACAGGAATCACCACTCCATTTTATGTTAAGAGAAAAAAGATAAATCATTGTCAGGCTGTGGTGTCTGCACCTGGCGACTGGTTGTAACTTGCATGGGGCCCAAAACCCCTTTCCTCACGGGAAAACAGACATGGAAAAAGACAATTAAAAAAAAAAAGTACAATCTTATGTGAGCCAGGCAGAAATAGGGAGAGATGTAAAGGGGTACAAGTGCTCATCTTGGGGAGAAAGTGGGACCATGTTAGGCCTGAAGGGAAGTGTAGCAGCCTGGGCAGAGACAGTGAAATAGCTTCTGTGTGCTATTCTGGATGGGACATTCCAGAAACAGCAAGAGGGAGGGTTGGGGTTGGGGGGATCCTACTGGTGTGGGAATGACCCTGAGGACAAGCAGACGGGGGCCTTCAGGGAGTTTTATGCAGGGGAGGGATGGGGTCAGATTTGCACTTTGGGAAGTAAACATAATTATTTTGCTCCATAAAAGGGAGGTAGTAATCTCGTCCACCCCGTTAAACTGAGGAAGAGCAAAGGAGAGCACTGAGGCTTGTAAAATGTTACCCAGACTTGAGAGTGAGATGTGGGGTGGCGGCTTTAGGATGGGGGAGATCAGCTGGGACGAGCAATTTATCTGATGTTTGCTTTCCCATCACTTCTGTAGGTAAGAAAGGGCCTGACATATCTCCACAGAGCTCATCAGTTTTCTCAACCTCTGTGGGAAAGAAGCGTGAACGGGTTGAAAATCAAACGTTTAACCAACTGTGCAGGGTTGGGTGGGGTGAATCTGCCAAGTGTGGGGAGCACCAAAGCTGGGCCCATTGCCAGGGCTGGACTTGAAGTTTTGGGTCTAGCACAGGGGTTCTAGGGCTTTTTTTTTTTTTTTTTTTTTGGCCAAGATGCATTACAGAACTGTGAAAAACAATTTTCTCGGCATGGCCCAAATGGTGGCCTCTTAGCCTTCTCTTGGTGGCTGTCACCAAGAGGGGACTCTCTCCTGGTAGCTCTCAGCATTCGCCATCTTTGTGGGCCTGTTCTTCTTCCAAAGTAGTAGCCTAGGGGGAGGAGGGACACGAAGATTGACTTTAAAGGGAGGTTGTGAGCTGTTCAGACTCCAAACCAACTCTGTATTTATCTTGTCCAGGCACTCATGACATTCATGCTCTGATCCTTGGAAGGGCAATCACAGGGATCCAGGCGTTCACGGCCAGCAAGTGAACATACTTCACCCGGGAGCCCAGATGGTCTCAAGCTCCTTCCCAGGGAAATGCTGTGCTCTGAGCTTACTCAGGGAGGTGGCAGATGGAGCCAATTTTTATAGTGGGAAGTGAGAGACACTGATTCTTAATTATCAAAATTTTCCCTTTGAAGTCATTCAAATGTGTTCCTTAAAAAGGAGATGGGACTCTCTGTACCAAGTTTCTCAACCCACTTTTTACCGTGGACGGGGATGGATTCCACTTATCTTGGAACAGAAGCTTCCCTTGACAGGGGAGCAGGAAGAGGGAAGGAGAGTGACATGGAAACAACCTCTGGTGTCTGACTGAGCAAATCCCCCACACACCAAGAGTTCCCTGTGTGCCCTCTGACCCTCCCATCTTGAGGGTAAGTGCCTTACGCTGGATGTTGGAGCAGAATGAGTGTGAAAGAGAGAATAATAAAGTCTGCATGTCTGACCCCAAGGTGTGGGCCACATTTAATTGTAACCACCCACAAAGTCATTTCAGTCACAGGAAAAATGTGGGGACTGTGAGGTGACTGGATATGTGGTAGGGATTTCTCCCTTAAGTAGTGTGGCCTGTGTCAGAGTCTTGGGCTCTGCTGTAATAACCCTGGATAGGCACTGACCGGGGCTTAGGGCTGTAGACACTGTCCTTTCTGTCCTGTCACCACAGAGCTGACCACACAGTGGTGGGAAATAACAACTGTCTAGCTTCTCAGCTCAGACACACCGCCTCAGAGGGAGCCTGGGGCCACAGGCGAGGTGGCAAGAGCATCAAGGGTTTTGCAGTGATAGCGGCCCCTGTGGGGTTTAGGGCTGGGCACGGTGCTAACATCCTTGGTTTGTGTTGACATTTACTTTCGTCTTAGCCTTCTTCAGGTGGCACCCACATGCATGCATTTAGTCATACCTCAGGCTGGATGCACAGGTCTTTGTACACTGTCTCCACGGTGTGGCACACTTGTTTGAGCTCTGTTTCCAAATTGCTGATCTTTGTCATTTTCTGGGTGAACTCTTGGAGCTTGTCCTGAATGATCTTGTTATGGTGATTATAAATCTGATACATCCTCTCCTCTAGCTTTTCTGTCAGGTCTGAAACCTTTTAAAAAATAGAGCATGTTTTATTTACGAGGCATCATAAGACATATGTTTTAAGTGGCTTGCTAAGATTTCTGCAACTTGTTTTATTTTATTTATTTATTTTTAAAGATTTCACTTATTTATTTGACAGACAGAGACACAGCGAGAGAGGGAACACAAGCAGGGGGAGTGGGAGAGGGAGAAGCAGGCTTCCTGCTGAGCAGGGAGCC